ACATTACTTTCTAGCAGCCTTTCAGTAACTCAGTTTCCCAGAAGTAGGAAGGAGGCAGTGCACAGTTGAGTTGTTAAGAATTAACAAAAGCTTTGCAAAGGAAAGTAAACTCAGCCAGATAACGTAGGATATTCTCTGACAGCTCAATATGCATTTTCTCCAACATTGATTCATGCTTCTGTATACAACCCTGAAGTAAAAATGCCTCAGTGCTGTATTCGTGTTGCAGCTGACTGTCCTAAAGTGCAAATTCATTTAAACTCAGTTCTTATTCTTGACTCCGTTGTTTTTGGGGAGGAAAAAACAACACTTTCTTTTACCTTTTAAATTTTATTTTATTTTACAGTGATGTTAAATTAATTTTAAGGAAAATTTACACAGTGTTCTAATAGCTGAGAAACAGATATAGCAGGATGTTTCAAAGCACTTTTGTCTATGTATTCTTGTTTGTAACAGTAATATATGTAGATTCCTCCTTTTACATAGCATTGACTTCTCAAAATGTCTTGGTTAATTTTGCCAGCATGTAGCCACAAGTACTGATTTTTACTACTTTTTAAAGTTTGAAAGAAAATAGCATTTGAAATTTCAAATACTCATGTTAAAATTATTTCTAGGACATGAAAATTGAGAGGAAGTTGCACTCAAAATCAGTGTCTTGAAATTCTGTAGGGGACACTGAATAATTTCCTGGAAGAAATATCTGAGTTTATGCACATTATCATTTCTAGTTGGCAAAAGTCATGTTTTTCTAAGAAATTACTAGTTTGAATCGAATCAACTTATTTGGAGGATGTTATTTTCCTCAAAAGTCATGTTGTGTTGGAGAACTCATGAAAGAAATACAGTGTTGCTGTACCTGAAGCTCAGTCTTCAGTCATCAGAAATTACTTTGTTTTAATTACACAGGCATCTGAGACAGAGGTGAGAAGAAAAACCAGTCTGTCTAAGCCATTTCCAAATCCTCCAAACTACCAGAAGACTTAATTACTTCATGGGGGCCAGACTTGTGGAGATAGCATATATTTTAATCAGATAAACCTAGGAGAAACAAAGTTCTTATAAACCATGGATTGAAGCCTCCTATGAGCATAACGCTCCCTAAGAAGAAAGGTGCAGGGGAAAAAGGAGGGGGAGGAGTAAGAGGGACAGAGAGAGAGAGAGAGAGAGAGAGAGAGAAGAGGAAACTTTGGAGCAGGCACAGTAGCTGAAGTGATATGACAATATGGGGCAATTTTCCTGAGTAACTGGATCCTATAGCATAAAGTAGGTAGCTTCACCCCCATCCTCAGTAGCTTGGAAACTGATATCATTATTAAAAATGAACAATTGTTTTAACTTCAGGAAAGAAAAACAATCTATTTTTTATTTGTGTTTGACTTGACCAGAAGTCTTTGGACTTTGGTTAACCTAATCCAAACCCAGTCTGTCAGAACAGACCTTTGACATAAATTCTTAAAATACTTTTTCAGTGTGCTATTACGCTTAATGCTTTTACAGTCTTGTAATAAACTTTTCAGATGTGAAGGAAGCATTACATTTACATATGAGAACATATGTCCACAGCTGAAGAAATGTGCAGGCTTCTAATTCCAGTTTAGTCCCAGTAGTCTTTTAATATAGTTTATATTGTAGAGTCACTGTCAAATATTTTCATTTTTATGGTCTGAAGGCTGTGTTGAATGAAGTTTTCTGAAACTGGCCTTTCGGAGAATCTGATGTCCCGTGTTCTTGTGGACCGGTTCTTTTTTATCGAATTTTGGATTGTATCTGATGTGAAGTAGTAGACTATAGGGTCAAAACAGCAGTTTGAAACGGCGATACACAGAGTGATGGGGTACATAGTCCTGACTGCAGTTACCACTGAGCAATTAATCCAGGTCTGTGTTCTCATAAGGGAGTAAAGTATTAAGGTAACATTATAAGGCACAAAGCAGAAGCAGAATATCACTAAATGGACAAAAATCATCTTGAGTACCTTTTTCTTGCTTAGTTTATTCCGGCTTAATGTAAGCGGCTTATTCAAAGTCCGTAGGACCATAGTGGAGCAGGTAACATTCAAGATGAGTGGAATAAAAAACCCAACTGTTTCAATGAAGATAACAATCCGGGATAGGTAGGTTTTCCACGTGTCCTCTGAAAAGTTTTCAAAGCATGTCCTTTGTGCAGAATTGTTATGGCAGTTTGTAGACTGGAAAAAGCTTGCTGGTGTGCTGCCTGCTAACACAATTATCCACACTGCGACACAGACAATTTTTGCATTCCTCTTGGTTCGGAGGGTCTTAGATCGGAAGGGGTGTACGATAGCTAAAAAGCGATCTACACTTATGCAAGTCAGAAATAAAATGCTCCCATACATATTTGTATAAAAAAGGGTGACAGAAATCTTGCAAAGAATGTCTCCAAATGGCCAGTTTCTGGTTACAAAGTAATAAATCCTGAAGGGTAATGTAAACACGAAAAGCAGATCCGATATGGCTAAATTAAGCATGTAAGTTGTAGTTTCATTTTGCACTTTTAAGGTGCAAGTGAAAATGTAGATCGCCACACAGTTTGCTATGAGGCCGAGAACAAACACCATGCTAAAGATACACCCATACAAAGTATATTTAAAGGAGTCCTCAGTGGAACAATTAGAGCTTACCATTATAATGGTATGTTTAAAATTCCTGTGATTTGGAGGTTTCTCTGGTATTTTTATTGCAACTCTTTTGAAATTCCAGAAGAACTCGCAGATCAGATGTATTTTGAATGGTGTGCTTTGGCAAATTTGTTGTGCTGTGAATCTTCAGGGAAGAAAGGCGAGCTCTGTAGCAGGGGAGTACATCTCCAGCAGAAATCACCAGAAGGTCACACTTTTCTTCTGAGTGCTATTTGTAATCACATAGCCAGTTGGCAAAAGTCAGAAAAGACATTGTCTGTGGCAGATGAGATCCCTTCAAAGCTTGCTTAGTTCCATTTCCCACCTCGATTCAATGAAACCATTGTAGGGCTTTCTGCCTTACTCCTGGCTGCAGATCGTGATGGCAAAGCCTTGTCCATCCAAATGTCCTGGGAGCATGTGCTTTACGAAGCGATCTCCTGGGTGCCACAAAGTGTGGGCACTTGCATTTCTCCCTCAGCCTTCTTTCTGTACAACAAGTTTTTCGGCTCGCTGGCTGGCCCCATGGGGCAGGAAGCAGAAGCAGAAGGGAGCTGCTTGCCAGGGCAGAAACCGAATTCCAGAGCGTGTTTGTTCCTGCAGCCCACAGCCCTCGGCAGCTCTCACCAACTCCTTCTGGGAGGAGAGCAGAGCGCTCAGGCAATTTGTAGCATGACATCACAGGAAGAAGAGGCCGGGCCTGAAGAATGGTTTGTTTGGTTTGTTTGCCTTCCCTTAATCTGATAATGTCTCTGCTGTACCTTGCAGACTGTAGCTTGCAGGCATTCGAATAGTCACCAGCAGAGAGCTCCAGCTGCCTCTTAACTCTTTCCATGCTTCCTGAAAGGTCCTTTGTCAATGTTGCCAGGGCCTGAGAAATCTTTTTCTTCAGTCGTGAGAAGACTTTGCAGTGCCAGAATAACCCTCGTGCCTTAAAGTTCCTGTTTTTCTTTGGAGATAATAGTAATTGTGGGATTTTATATAGGATTGAATTAGAATTATGGTTTTTGTTAGATATCTTTCCTTGTAATAGAGAACATATTAATCACCAGGAGTCAGCTGAGTAGTTCTGTCTAAATTCCCTCAATACCAATCTCAGGAGGGACAAAATAACATTGTTAGGTAATTAAATAATTTCACCAAATAATAACTGAGAGAGGATTGCTCTTGGATATTCCCAGGACTGGGATGTGTTGCAGTGGGAGGAGAAATTTTTAACATGTTCCATGTTAGAAAGCACACTCCAAGCTTTATTGCTAATCAGAAAGGTGGTTCTTTAAAAAAAAAAAGAAATACACTTCAGGGGTTTTTTTTTGAAATATTGTGATGCAGAAAGCATTTTCTTCAATATGTAAGCACAGAATTAATACAGCAAAATGCATACTGTACTGTGCAGTTGTTTCTGGTGATTTAAAGGGACCAGTTATCGCATATGCACAAAACAGTCCCATTAGTCACTGAATAATGAAACGAAAACATGTTATAACTAATTATATTGTTAAGTAAATATAAAAAAACTCCAACTCTTATTGCCTTTAGGGGCAGATATGAGGTAAATCTCAGTTTAGACAGACTCATTTATTTAACAACAGCTTGGATAGACTCACTTCTGGCATCAAAACCAGTCTATTTCTAAGTCTTAGAATAACAAACCTCTTCATATCTGGCTGGGTGGCATGGTTCTTTTGAACTAGATTTTAATCAGTTGTACCTAAGCAAGGCTCTGGGCAAAACCTTTATAGTCTGCTGTGAAGGAGAGTAAATAATAGTGCTTCACAGGATTTTGGCATGATTTCTTGATGTAAGCTATGTCAGACAAAATTCAGAAACATGAAAAAGTGGTTCTTGCTTATTTTATTTCAAGTTTTCTTTGTAGTTTTTTGTTAAACATTTTCACCTTGATTTTGAGTTGAAATCAAGCAGTTTAAGTTCAATAGGCTATAATACCGCAAGAAACCTTCTTGACTATTTTTGAAATTCATGCTTAATCATAAAGCATAGTGCATTTTGCACTTCTAAGTGCAAAATTTTCAGCCAGAAAGGAAAATGTGAGCTTGGCAGAGTCTCTCGTGTCAAATTTAACTTGTACTTTAGCATAAAGTTGTCTTAGCTGACTTTACTCACAAAAGCACATTTTGTTTCAGTTCCTGGCAACCTTGCATGGTAAGAGAGGGGTTTTCCTGCAAAAGTTCTGCGTCAGGACATGGGAGCTCTGATCTCAGTTCTACTGCTCTGACTTTGTACAGGAAAACTATGCAGGGCAGGTTCAGTTACTGGAATGAAAATCCATGAAGGACAGAAATTTGATGTCACATGGCAAAGCCTCAAGTAATAATTCACTTTTAGAGAGAGAAGCTAGGCCTCAAGAACCCCATGCAGCGCTACAGTCTGGGCACAGAGTGGCTGGAGAGCATCCAGGCAGAAAGGTATCTGGGGGTGCTGATTGACAGGAACCTAAACATGAGCCAGCAGTGTGCCCAGGTGGCCAAGAAGGCCAGTGGCATCCTGGCCTGCATCAAGAACAGTGTGGCCAGCAGGAGCAGGGCAGTGATCCTTCTCCTGTACTCTGCGTTGGTGAGGCCACACCTTGAGTATTGTGTTCAGCTCTGGGCCCCTCAGTTCAGGAAGGACATTGAGGTGCTGGAGCGGGTCCAGAGAAGAGCAACGAGGCTGGTGAAGGGACTTGAGCACGAGTCCTATGAGGAGAGGCTGAGGGAGCTGGGGTTGTTTAGTCTGGAGAAGAGGAGACTCAGTGGTGACCTCATCACTCTCTACAGACTATCTGAGAGGAGGTTGTAGCCAGGTGGGGGTTGGTCTCTTCTCCCAGACTATCAGCAACGGGACAAGAGGGCATGGGGCTTAAGCTTTGCCAGGGGAGGTTTAGGTTGGATATTAGAAAGAAGTTCTTTCCAGAGAGAGTGATCAGGCATTGGAATGGCCTGCCCAGAGGGGTGGTGGATTCACCATCCCTGGAGGTTTTTAAGATGAGGCTGGATGTGGCACTGAGTGCCATGATCTATTAATCACAGTGGGGTTGGACCAAGGGTTGGACTTAATGATCTCAGAGGTCTCTTCCAACCCAGTTAATTCTATGATTCTCTGGTTCTATGATTCTTTGAAATGAGTATGTCTCTCATCGATCAATACTTGATTTGGCATTTGGGCGAAGGTGTGGGTGCACAGAGGCAGGGTGAGATGTCTGATCAGAGGCACTGTCCATTTTACCACAGTAAATGTGCTTTAAGGCAGTTGTGAAGGGGCATCCTCAGCCTTTGCTTCACCCATTGGAGCCCCTGCCTTGCTGTGGTCTGTGTTGTTGCTCCTGTTACATATGTGGACACTACTTATATCTCTGTTTTAGGGTATTGTGTGTATGCTTATGTTGTCTTTGTGACTGTGGCCCCTGTACCCTTTTGGTGCAGCACAGTACATGCGCTTTTTGTTAACTGAAGACCTAAGTCATATTTGTGTATGTCCAGAAATACCATTCAGATGCAGAGTCTCTCCACCTGTGGATGAAAATTTGAAAACCCCAAGTTGACAGGTTTTTCATTCCTCTCATGTTTCAGCAAGGAAGGGTTATGACTTAGCATGCCGGCTGAGTTATTTTAGTGTAAAAGTGTGAATGGCAAAGGCAAATTGTGTACCCTTTCTCTTCATTTGGATATAGCTGATTGTTACCAAGCAGTGTTTAAATTTATGTGAGCTTCTCCAAGCTGAAAAGCCTGTACTAGTGCACTGGGAGCAGCTGGGATTCAGGATTTGCCTCCCGTCTGGCCATGCTCCAATGCAAGCAGGGGCAAAACTTCATTGCACGCTCCCTGTGTGCTGGATCGTGTTCTAAGATGTTGGGCTTTGTGCTGACAGGTTCAGAAAAGAGTTTAGTAGACCCCAGTGCTTTAAAAACTTTTAAAGAAGAGAAAGAATTGGCATGGTAATGACCTTGCTTATGCTCCTTCACCAAAGGCAATTTTCCTTTGGGATGGGGAGGGGAGGCAGGCAGGAGGAAGCAGCTGCAGGGAGAGCCCTGCACGCTGAGGGAAGTTTTTTCTGCAAAGGAAACAATGCTGTTGCTGCAGGGAAATGCATATGTAAGTCTGTCTACCTTTCTGCGTCAGGCAGGAATGAGTTAGGACCTGTCATTTGCTGCTAGATGAGCAGGGCCTGCATTTCCATTAACAGGCTTCCTGTGGCTCTTGAAGAGGCACCAAAGGCAGAGTGAGCACGGGCTCCTTAAAGGCAAAAGCTAATAAGATTCTTAAAACCTCTCACTTCAGCAGCGAAAGATTTCATGCACTCCTTCAGCCAGTTACCACTTAACTCTGCTTAAATGAGCTTAGATACCTGAGTTTAGGTATCCAGGACTATTTACACCTTTAAGCAATCTTGGATTTGTGTGGCAAACCTATTCCAGCATTGAACAGGGCGTCAGAAGGAAAAGCCCTTATAACCCTAGCTGTGTGCTAGTAGAGTGGCTGTAGGACACTGCTCCTTTGTTGTACCCCTAGATGCCACAGAGTTGGATACTTGCTTTCATTTAGGATACAGGGGCAGGGTCCCTTAAATTCAGAAGCCCCAGCTGAATGGTACAGAAATATTTCACTGAAATAAAACAAATATTGGAAGGCTTTCTAAGCCCTTGGAGTTGTGCTGACCAGTGTTGGGTATTCCTCTGGTGGTGTGTTCCTCACCTTCAGTTCTGGTGGGTGCTTCTGAAACAGAATTTATAGGCAAAGGTGAAAGAAATTTTTAACTTGTCTTATGTACTGTAATTAGTCTCTGCTGATGCTACTACTAAAAGCTCCTTAGAGAAAAAAACCCAACGTCAACATTAATAGTGTTGTAATAAATTTCTACAGTGTTTCCAAGACCAGAGTATGCACTGTTAAACGATGCACAAAATGCTCTATGTAACTCCATTATTCAGTAACTAATGTTACTGCTTTTAGAGGCACATCTGTGTCATGGTGCAGGTATTTGTTCCCACTTTGCTTAAGCAAGCTTGTGCAGAAGAACTTATGCTGTCTGTTGCAATAAAGACAAACCCTGGCAGGACAGTATTTTCTTGGCTCTAAGTTGTTGTTATTTATCCAATCATTTTTATGGGTTTAGGCATTTCTTGTCTGTTTACTGGAGTTTCTCTTTGAGCATGTGTATGTACAGAAAGGAATTTATTACGATTGAGAAGTAGAGCTGGGAGCCAGGAAGTCTCTTTCTGGCTGTGCCACAGATTTTCTGTTCCAATCCTGGCAAAGTTTTCTGTGACTTTGTGCTTTAGCTTCCCTCCGTGTAAGAGCTCATTCACTTCCACACTGGGTAATTGCTAAGTATAGTTTGAAGTCCTTGGATGGAGAACCCTTTATTAAATAGGATCTTAAGGTAGTAAATGTGATGAACCTGTAGAAAGATTAAAGTTTTGTCCTTTTAGATTAGCTTCCAGCCAAGCAAAAGAATCAATTAAGAGGCACATACAAACTACATGTAAAAGTTGAAAGAGAACTGTAAACCTTTTTTTTTCAGTGAAAGTTTAACCTTCGAGAACCAGTTTTCTCAATTAGTTTTTCTTTTACTAACCATGTTCTAATACATAGTAGCCAAAAATCTTCAAAGTATTAAAAAAAAGTGAAGTGAAAGTATTTGGGCTGTAGTCTGTTAGGTTGCATAATTGCTTAAAAAGGGAAAATGAACCTCAGAATAAAACTCTAGAGTTCTTTATTCTCGCCTGTTGGAAATGCTTCTTTTTTCTCTTCAAAATTGTTTCAATTTCCTTTATGGGAGATGATACAACTGCTCCTCTCCTGCTTGTAGAACGAGGAAACAATTTCTCTCCCTTTGTATGAGTTTTCATTTGCTAGAGTCCTTTCTTTTCCCCTCTACTCTTGAGTTGATGGAGGGATTTTAAAACCCAAACATACGTACAGCAAAGGTGTTCTGAACTTGAGAAAAATCGTTTGCCTTGGTTCTTTGTTCTTAAAAATATGTGCAATGAATATGACAATCATACTCTAAGAAATGCCACGTTTAGTCAAATTCTAGTTCTGAAATACTTCTTCACAATATTTATTGTATATCTGTGTGTAAGCAAGCGGTTTCTTTGAACCACTTCAGTTAGTTATATGTAGTCCCTTCCCGGCTGTTTCCTATACTGTCCTTGATGTACCTAGTGATATAAAGAGAAGTGGATTAGAGAGAACATGTTTTGACTTAAGGAATAATATGTAAAAACTGATACAGGCAAAAAGGAAAACCATCGTGTTGATTGATAATATTTAGGCAACTAAGAGGCAACTAAGAATATTCTGTTGCTTCTGAGGTGAAACCTTCTCCTTTGAAACAGAATTTCAGACTTGAAGTGCTGCTGTTGGGATTGTGTTTAGTCATTGCAGTATCCCTTAACATAATAGAATCCTTCAGAATATTCTCAAGTCTGCTAGAGGCTTTCTAAATACTCTAACTTATGGGGGAACAACTTAAGAGAATGAGATAATAAGAGAACCTTTAAAAATACTATTAATTTTACATTCTTGTTTTCTTTTGATTTTGCATAAAGGCTTTTTGGAGAAGAGTTTTGGAAAAAGCTTTCTGTGCACAGTATGGAGAAAAGTACAGAACTGTGTGCTGGAGTTTGTCATAGAAGTTCTGAAGATATTTTTAGGATATTTCAGAAAATATATGTACTCTTTGCTTACATTTTAAAGCTTGCTCTTGTCATTATTTGGTTTGTTGACCACAAGAGTTGAGACACTGAAAATAGGGGATTAATTTTTTAAAGTATAATAATGCAATTTTGAAAATAATAACTGTGATAGCACTAATAGAAAAATACTATGTCTAATGGCAAAAGAAGCTTTTTTACAAGAAGCTCAAAGGTCCAGTTAATGCTGATGAACACATTAGGGTTACCTAGAATTATGTAAACGTTATCATGGAATATGTAGATTGGTTGTTTGCACTGTAAATACACAGGAGCAGTTACAGCGGTGCTTTAGGCCGCTGACGTGACTGATAAATTCTTGAATGAAGCTTCTGGATTTGCATTTTTTGTGTAACTCATGAAAAGTCCCAGCAGCAGTTTTTGCTTAGATTCTCAAATATTTTGATGTGCAAAGCAAATTTTTCTGAGAATGCAGTTATAAAGATATCCAGAGGAAACAGTAATTGGATAAGGTATTATCAATGTGTCCATTTGTTATCTGATATATTGAAAAGGATGGCCCCCGCCTGCCTCTAATACATGCAGCAAGAGGATGTAAGAAATGGCACACCTGTTTACCACCCCTGCACCTCAGCTTTAAATTTTTCATTTTCTGTAGCTATGAACAGTGTGTGCTGTGCAGGTGTGTGTTTGATTTAAACCTCTGACCCTTTTTGTGGTCTCGTTTTAAGGGAAAATTTGCTTTGCAGGATGAACAAAATCATCATTTCCATTGCATCTTAATAAGCCCACTTGGCGAGATTGGAAACTCCTGAGAGATGATTG